TTAAAAAATAAATTTTTGTTGTTGTTTCACTTGTTTTCGAAAACCTCTTTTTATAAAATTATTTTATATAACATATAAAATAAACATTCTATAGGAGACATATAAGCTTATAACTAGTAAATAGACATGTAAGCTATAAAAACGATTTCGAAGGAAAATATAACAAAAATGCAGCTGATGAACAACTTAATGAACATCAATAAAATTTAACATTTAATATCATAGAAATGATTCACCGAAAGTGTTTACGTTGAGCTATTAAAAAATATATTGTATATAGTAAATTTTATCACAATTTTAATATTTATAATAAGTGCGATTGTGAGGAGAAGAATGCCTATGCACTGACCACGATCTTGTGCCCTGGAAAGTAAGTGCCCGAATTTACTAATTCTTTCCCAAAATTCGTGGAGACCTTATCTTACCCCGGAACTACGATAGTATTACTTCGGGGTAGTGTCTGTCTTAGTTATTTAAGTCTTTTATCGTTCCATACAGTGTCCATGCTCCGCTGTCAAGTGATTAGCTTTGCACTTTGTCTTTGTGTAAAACATCTGATTGCTCTAACTGCCTTCTGTCGAGTTCTACTCTTTTCAACCTCAGGACATTTTCAACGAATTTTGCTACGCGATCGCGGTTTGTTTTATCTTTAATTATTTTTTCTGGAAAAAGTATATTAAAGTATATTAAGTTATGTTCAACTATGAATAGTTATATACCCTTTATGAAGTTGACTTTATCTCAGTGTTAATATTTAAAAAATTATCTTAAGGTGAAAAACTTTAAAACAATATTAAAATTTACTATTTGTTAATATAATCTTGCCTATACCTATATAACAAAAGTGTTAACACACTTCCCTTTTGTAATGTTTTTTCTAAAAATGTTCCATACCTGAAGGATATTAATTCTTTGGGGCTTTTTTCCACTAAATTCACTGTCTCATAATACTCGTTACATTAAGGTTTTCATTGTATATTTGCCAAGTTTACAGAGTCTTGTAAGTAAAGTAAAGTAACAATTTAACAATCCAAGCGTAAATAACATCTATTAAATGATGTAGAAATGTTGTCAAGCACTGCGTCTGCGTCTTGACCTCATTTGCGAAAGCCTTTCAACACAACTACTTACAATTTCAAAGCAATAAAACTAAAATAGCTGCAAGGATATTTTTACTTTAATGCTTAACACATGGAAGCATAAATAATAATATAAAAATCTTATAATAACAAATATGAAAAAAAAGTATGCAATTCTATTATAGTACGATATTACTGAGAATTGAAGTCACTGCATAGTGAAGATGTTATTTTTGTATACTTAAGCTAATTTAGACACTGCAGCACTTTTAATAAAAATAGAAATAAATTTAAAGCTTTCCACTTTGGTCCCTTATATTAAAGTTAAGACTGAATACTACATATACTATATACATTTAAGTCGCGATTCATTTATATATCGTAAATAAGTTTTTTAAATATTTTCTCATTGTGCTTACATATTTGTTAGTCACATAAAATTCTTTGTTTTTCTATCTACAAACTTTAAAATCAACCAACTGTATAAGCAACCAGCAGCTTCGTGACCTCATTCACCAACCGACCTACCGACCAACCAACATATACCTTCTGCACCATAAACACCAAAGTCTCTCTGGTGTTATGTATATGTTTGCTTTCAAACATAGGAAATATGCCATATCCAATAGCAGTACAACCCAACCTATTTCATTCCATCCTTCTGACCAAAACGTTGTCGTGTTATGTTGCAACATTAAATATCCTTTTTAATACTCGTACTACGCGCGGATTCTGCCTTTGGTGCCTTTGACATGAATGATTTTTGATATATAAAATACAAAAATATGTCCGTTTTGTTCTCTATCTCTACACAGATGTATGCTGTGTACTAGCATTTTATATTTAATATTTTTATGCTTATATTTTAAGCCATCTATACGAGTATAAAACGTATTTTCTGGTATCTCATGCTTTATTCGGTTTTTGTTCCCTAAATGCCTGCTGGATCCATTAATTATAAAGAATATAACAAAAAATATAAAAAAGAAATGCTTTTGTTATTTATTTTATTTTATTTCCTTACATTTTATTTCAATTTTTTCATGTATCCTTTTAGAGGTACACGTGTGCAAGTTAACGGTATTTGTATGGAGCAAGTTAATCCTGTAGAATCATTTAATACAGGAAATTAAGTGAGGTTGCCGTAATAATAAAATATTTTACCTCTCTTACTTTAAAATCGAAAATTTTTATGTTACTGATTTCAATTCATTCGACTGAAAACGTATTTCATAAAATTTTAATCAAAAAATATTACACATATGAGCTAAATAAACACAGAGTTATGATAGTATTTAGGTATTATTATACTAATAAATGACGGTATTAAGTACTTATAGCTGCATATAATTAAAACATTAAGCTTTTACTGAAACATAGCCAATTATAGCTGCAAATATGAACTGCATAAATGTGGTTTTTCCAATTCAAGCGAATAAGTAATACTGCTGTAAAGACCAAGAGATAATAGAAATCTAATTATCACATGCTGAGTTATATCCTTGACTCTAGTAAATAGCTGCAAACACATTTAATCAAGTAATATTTGAGGTTTCTCAATATTAAATTAAATTTATAGTTTGTGAAAATCCAGACTAGAAATTTTGGATGTAAACATAGAGTTGGTTTCCAATTTCTGTCTTGTATTAAATTGTGAACTAATTAGTGTTTATTAAGCACCAATAAGTTAGAGAGCTACTAGGGCAGCCTATTAAGTCTTGTGCCTAACAGAGAAAACATATTGGTTAATTAGTGAAAATGGTTTTATTGTTTTTCAAAGTATTTTTCATAATGATCAATAAATTTTTGCATTCGATTAAAACAATTTTCGAAACAGTTTTCACACTCTGAAGTTGGTATCTCCAAACTAATAATTTGAATGTATCAATTGCCTATTCAGAGATAGAAAAGCACTCGTCATGCATTTTTTCCTAATGTTTGGAAAGAAGAAAAAGTCATTTCGTGCCAAATCAGGATTGTAATGCATATGACCCATTAATTCGATGTTTTGAGTGTTTAAAAACTCTTTTGTTTGATCAAATGTATGAAGGCTCGCATTGTCGTGGTGGAGGATGATACTTTTTCGACGGTTGGTTTGCCACAATTTTCCGAAGACTTCTACAAACTTCAACAAAAACAAAGAAATGATTGTATACAGAACAAAATTTTCGTTTATTCACAAAATAAAATGTAAATAAATTTTATAGGAGGTACATTTAAGATATGAACAAATATCTCATGAATAGCTTTCAACTCTTCCCATGCCCAAAGTGCTAACCGTCAAAACTCAAAAGTAAATATCAAAATAATTCTTCCATTTTTTTTCTAACATTTTTTATTAATGGACTTCATTTAAGCGACTTCTTCTTCTTTGCTTAATAAAACCCGAGTTGTTGTCTAATGCAACTTTACTCAATAGTATCTGCAACCATTTGGGTGATCGACTGTAACAAGAGGTCGATTGAATTCTAATAATGAGTATTCAGTTGAATTTGCCAAAGTATAGTTTGGACTTCTATATATCTTCTTAGAGTGCTATTCTGAAATAGTATGGGCATCCACAGAATCAAATAGTTTTAGCAATCAGTCTTTGATATATTTTCGTAGAAGTAAATCTTTGTGTATTTCTTCATTTCTGATATACCATGGAGCTTTCAGTATACATCTTAATACAAAATTCTGATAAGTTCAGGTACTCTACATATATTAAATATATAATTCGGATTCCCTCGTAGTTCGTATAAAGTTAGAAAATCTAAAATATGCATTGTGTTTCTTCTAATCCGTATCGACTGCTGATGCGTTAATCTGAATTACACTTTATAAACATTTCTGTTTAATAGTCTAGTGAAATAAATAACATTTATAGATCGATCACAGATTCGCTAATCCCGATTACATGTTATGAACGTTCTTGCTCCATAGTCTTGTGAAATAAATAACATTTATGGATCGACCACAATTTCGCTGATCCGGATCACATGTTATGACAATTCTTCTGGATAGTTTAATGAAACAAATCACGTTTATAAAATGTTAACGAATTTACTAATACAGATCACATATTATGAACATTTCTGGTTTATAGTCTAGAGAAGTAAATCACATGTATCGGTTATATGCATATGTTTTATACAATGTATATTGATTTCCATCATTTAATTTATGGATAAATTTCTTGAGTAAAAGATTAATGTTCACCGTTTATTTAGTTTCTATTGTTAAAACAAATATATAAACATATATAAATTCAAATCCCAATGTAATCTGGATTAGCAGGGTTCAACTATAATTTCTTTGTTTTAAATATACAAATTGAGTTAAAAATAAGAGTATATCTCTTCTAGAAACTTAAAAATTTAAACAAAACCTACAATAGCTAAACTTGAACCTTAAAGAACTGAATTTAAACTTTCAAAATTGGCAATTATACCTTCAAAATGCAAATACTTTAGGCTACTTTTAGTCGTTCTTAATTTTCAGAGTCGGTCAAATCAGAATACTAACACGCCTATTTTCCGCATAACTCAAATACATTTATAATTTGATATACACTCCACCTTCTCCTCGTTTTTATTTGGAAATAGTAGCATGAGAATTGAAGTAAGTGAATATTATGTGAACCAGCCTACCCACCTGGCTGACACTGGTTAGCTACCTCGTTGACTCCTTGCTAGATGTACGAGTATAACCATTATAATTTATGTGAAACGTAAAATTTTCAATCATAAATTTCTGCACATACAAAATTCCTCCCACCCAATCCTTAAATATTCGGAATGCCTTAAAGTCTACACTAATTTCTAAATTTATTGCCTTCTGAGTGCACCTATGCGCTATGGATTTGCAGTTTCAGAGTTAACGAGAGTGTGTGGCATGCATAATATCACAAAGTGTACAACATGTCACATGTGTCACGGTTTATGTTGCAGGTAATTTAGTTGATAGAGTTACATGTATTTCTACGGTCCAAACTATTTTATAACAACTTTGGGCAAATGTTGCCAATATAAAGTTCGACGGAGTATCTTGTACTACTTCAGGCGAAGCAAATAACTTCCAAGTGTTAAATGTGCACAATTCAATTAAAAACTTTTAACGAATATGAAAATATGTTTTTCTTTAAGTTCTGAGTTCTGAGTTCTCGTTGATGTCAAGAGTAAAATTATGATTCCAAAAAACAAAAATAGCACTTTAAGACCTTGCGCATAAATTTAAATTTATTATTCAATACATAATGTACAGTGATTTTTAATTATTTTACTTGTTTTTCTGCAATTTATGGCCTATAATTTTTGCCCATTTTTCGAGTAATTGTTGTGCGATTCAGTTTTTTGCGACAAGTCAATCAATTAGA